TCTATGGCCAACTCCTCTGGTCCATTGAATCTTGTTGACCTTTTAAAGTTTACTTTGTTTTGATTATCTTGTTCCTGATTAAGTACAGGGACAGATATTTCAAAAATATCTCATAGCCTCATAAAGAGACTTCTGGCTTCGTTACGTGTCACAACCTCCAAGGTGTAAGAAAGACCTTCAAGTAGATAAGGATAGCTCCCTAAAAGTGGGAGGGGCAATATGTTCAAGACTTTCCTGGGAAGCTTAGAAGCAGTAATCTTGGGAGAAGGCATAAATGATTGTGGTTGATATATTGTGCACCCCAATAAACTCATCTGGGCATCAGAGAACAGAGCAGCCACTACAGTAAACATGGGTTTAGGCAGTGGTAGCACATGCCTTTAATCCTAGCATTCCAGAGGCAGAGATCTGTCTGGATCTCTGTGAGTTCAAAGCCACACTGGAAATAGCCAGGCATGGTGACACATGCCTTTAATTCCAGGAAGTGATGGCAGGAAGCAGAAAGGTATATAAGGCGTGAGGACCAGGAACTAGAGCCTTGTTAATCTTTTAGGCTTTTAGCACAGTTCAGATGAGATCCATTTGGATGAGGACAAAGAGGCATCCAGTTTGAGGAGACAAGATTAGAAGAGGAATTGGCAAGGTGAGGTTAGCTGTGGCTTGTTCTGTTTTTCTGATCTTTCAGTGTTCACCTCAATACCTGGCTCCAGGTTTGTTTTTATTAATAAGACCTTTTAAGGTTTGGCTACAAATGATTCATAAGAAAATTTCCATCAACCCAATATCCCCAAATAGTACAAATATTAAAAGTGCCCCAAGTATACAACAGGTGGAGATCACAACCAGAACTGGCATGGCAGCCATCGTGCAGCTCAGTTTGCTGGGTCTTGGACAAGCAGCTGTGCCGGCTTTCTAACTTTTGCCATTCCCATCAGATGTGGCTGTGCCACTGGGTAATGTTGTCTAATTTAGATTCCATGACTCAGATTTCTGTGTGTGAAACAGAGGCGACGATGACAGTGGTATCAGACTGGTGGTCAGTCTGAGACAGGTTATCTGCTGGTCTCCCTGAGAGAAGGACGGCCTAGAGTCAGGCGGTGTGCAGGAAGGTTTGCACAGATGATTTCAGTTTCTTGTGGGAATAGTTACAGCCTCAGAACTGAAATCTTTCCATTTAGCTTGTGTTCAGGTAGTAAGTGTTGGGATGGGACTATCTATCTTATTCTCTGCTCTATCCCCCTCCCATTGTTCCTTTAGGTGTGTTAAAACAAAACATGAACTGGTCACAAGGAATGATGGAAAGGAATAAGGGAATGGGTATGTGGGATGTGCAGTACATGTTATGTACCAATGGATTTTTGAAATTACTCAAGGAACATCTGAATAAATGAAAAAACAAAATTGTTTTCCATTGAGACCATCTTTTGTGGGACAAGGCAAGCAGCTTAGTGGTGAAGTATGGGCTTGGTTTATAAGAGGCCTTAAGTTTGATCCCTAGGATCATGAAGAAACAACAATGACAATAAAAATAACTAGTAACTAAAAACCCTAGAAGGATTATAGGAAAGGAAGCCACTACAAAATGGAGCATTAGATGTGGGGAGCCAGACCTACCCAGAGGCCCTGAGGAAAGGACAAATAGAACTTTATTTCTGTCTTTACCAGGAGTGGACATAGCAAGGCTGGGGTAGGGTTGAAGCCAGTGTCTCAAAGGACTCAAGGTTGTGGTTTGTGGGGAACTAACTCTTCCCCCTGGTTATCAGTTCTTAGGCAGCTGTGTCTGAGGTAGCCCATGTTCTCTTTGCTGACATTGTCTGACTTAGCTCGCTGCAGACCTTAGTCATTTCCCCCCTGTTCAATAGTCTATATGATGATGTAGTTCTTAATAAACCTGCTTGGCATAAGACACGTTTGTGTAAGCCCTAACAAAGAAGCTTTTATCTTTTCTGTCTTCTATCTTCTCCATCTTTTTAATGCCCTGGCACCTCCCATCATGATCCTGTCACTACAGTATGACCTGCTTGTCCATGTTAGTCAGAAGCAACCCTAGTAAAGTTCGCAAACATTCTCTGATGACCCAGAATGCGGTGGCAGGTTGGGGGCTTGGGACAGCAACAATAATTATCAGAGCAGCCACCCCTGGGGTGCAAGGCAGCAGCTGCGTTCCTCTTCCCTCCCTAGCCGTGAAGTGGCTTGGGGACAAGCTCTGTCCTCCCATGTCATTTCTGATCTCTGGGTTCAGGGATGGAGATCTGCACCCTGCCTCTCTGAGCCTCCTTTCTTCTTGAAGGAAGCTTCTCCCTCCAGGAAGAATCTCACTCAGACTGTCGTCCAGCACAGAGGAGCACAGGGGACCTCAAATCTCAGTGCTAGTCCAGTCTCAACAGCTTCCCGGCAATGACTCTCAGTTCTCTGACATATGTGTTTTATCAGCGTGTCTGCTGAACGGTGGGGAAACTGAGTCATGCCAAGGCCAATTAATGTGGTGAAGGAGAAGCAGGATGATAATTCAGCTCTGTGGTAGAACACTTGTCTATCATGTTCAAGGCTCTTGGTACAGTGTTCAAAACTGAAAAAAAAAATCCAAACTAAACCAAAACACATGCATACACAGAGGTGGGGGGCAACAGAGACAGAAATAAAGACAGAAAGTAAAGACTCACCTGCTCAAACCACAAATCCCCAAACCCCAAGTCAAGCTTTTTCCCTTCTCAAGGTACCTTCCTAGGATTTTTCCAAGGGAATTTATAAACTGAATCTCTGGGGTGCTCCCAAGTAGAAAAATTCATTTACATTTCAAAGGAATGAGGGGTTCTCATCTAGTCTGCATCCATTTGGTTCTTACAAGCAAGTAGGGCTTCCCAGACAATGAGATATACCTTACTTCAGCACAAAAGTGATGTATCCCCAGACTATGCATGTGACACTCAGTCTTGTTGACATTCAGATACCTGGGCCTTGGCCCAGATTCTCTGCCCAGGCTCTCGGGGATAATAAGCCTGCTTCAGCACACTGGTCAACTTATCAGTAAGACTCAAGTGAGCCAGGGTACCATAAAGTTCCCACTAGAAAGAGTCAAATAACCTTCTGACTGACTGCTTGTATTCAAGCTAGGAGAGTTTCTACCACCTTATACCTAAGGCCTTTATGTCCCCAGGCCCAGCAAGTGTCTCCATGGCCTTGGCTGTGCTGGGTGGTGAGGGAAGTGTCTGCCTCCCTCTGTAGGAAATCTAGGCTGGTCTATTAAACAGAAAAAGCTTTCAGCTTCCCAACTCCTACATCTTCTGAAAGCCATGTCCTGAGAGCACACAGGGCCAAGCCAGGCCATGTTTCCACAGATTGCTCTGGCAACCCTCCCACCATTATGGAGACAGGTTCACTTTTATTATGGTTTTAGATATGGTGTCATGTAGCTCAGGCTGGCCTCAGACTGCTGATCCTTCTGCCACAACTTCCCTGTTGCTGGGATCAGAGGTATGTCACCACACTGCCATGCTTAGTGTCTTCTCCTTTTTGAATTTTCTCCTAAGTGATATCCCTCCTTGCCTGTGGAGACTTTGGAGACATTCTGTAATTGTCAGCTGAATGAACAAATTAAGGGCAGAGGAAGACAGACTTGTTCACGGCTGACAGCAATTCAAGCTGCATGGGTAAGTGCTAGGTGGTCCTGGAATGTGCCTCAGCAAGCAGGAGGGGAGAGGGGAGAGACATTGTCTCCCCTCTGTTGTCATAACACAGTCACTGCTCCCTCCCTTAAGGTCTCTATCCATTCAGAAATCATCAGAGTGGAGTCTGTATACCGTCATGCACAGACCCAGGTTTCACTCCCTCCCTCCTCTAGTCCCCTGGCCCCATCTCCCCCAGATCCACTACACTCCTCTTTTTTCCTGCAGAAAAGAGCAGGCCTCCACTGATATCAACCAAACATGGCATAACAAGTTACAATAAGACTAGGCACAAACTCCATATCAAGGCTAAAAAATGAGGCAGCCCAGTAGAAGGAAAAGGATCCCAAAAGCAGATAAAAGAGTCAGAGACACCCCCACTCCCACTGTTCGGAGTCCCACAAGAACACCAAGTTACACATCCATAATATATACTCAGAGGACCTCGGTCAGACCTGTACAAGTTCCCTGATTTCCAGTCCAGTCTCTGTGAGGACTTACAAGCCCTGGTTAGTTGATTCTGTGGACTGTGTTCTTGTGGTGTCCTTGACCCCTCTGTCTCCTACAATCCTTCCTCCCCACCTTCTGCAGGACTCCCTGGTCTCTGCATCTGCTCCTATTATTTTCTGGATGAAGCCTCTCTGATGATGATTATGATAGGTCTACGTGTATAGCAAGTAGAGCAGAATATCATGGAATCATTTCATTGATTTTTTTTCTTTTGCCAGTTGTATTTGGTTCTATCCAGAGAAGACTCCTAGAAATGGGAGAATACAGAGCCTGACCTAGTCACCACACCAGCCCAGCCACAAAACTTTTGACCTATCATTTGTCCTGCCTGAAAGATGTGCTGGGGAAAAGGTGCCACAGAACTCGTGGCAGTGGCCAACCAAGTGGTCAAACGTGAGACCCATGCTGTGAGGGGAGCCCATGTTTGACACTTCCTGGAGGGCCAGTAACATGAGGCTGGACAGCCCAGAGACCTAGGAATAGAATATTCTTATTTCCTGAGAGGTATTAGAAAACATAGGTATGTTCTCAATTAGCTGGTCTGCTTGATCTTGTCATATACATTTGTGTGTAATATACCGTATTTATAATTAGCTAAGTATATGAAGTTAGGGATACAGTATGGATATGAATTCTATCATAAGGTGGGTATCCGTGGAATAGGCAATGCCATATCCCCTCAAGACACTATTGTACTATGTAACCTTGGCTGATGGGGAAGTCACAAGGGAGCCCAAACCCCCCTGGAACTTACATAAATACTTCTGTTTGTGCATTTGGGGGTTTCAGAGGTATGACACAATATATGAATAAAAAAAGATGGTCTTAAGTGTACAGATAAATGCTTTTTCATGCATAAAAATACAGTCATTTAACTTAATAGGGAATACAAAATGTCAGTCAGTATATACCACCTTAGCAAATATCACATTGACAAGAACAAAATAAATTTTAAAATAAATAAATAACAAAACCTCAAACCAAAAAGCAAACACCAAAAACCCAAACAGAAAATTAAGCTAAGGAGTATTCTCTTGTGTCAGACTTAGTGACACTCACCCATAAGCCATGGCTGCCCTTGGACACCTGATAGGAAGGTAGTTATGGATTGTAATAGCCTTTTCAAAAATATAAAGTGTAGCTATGCTTCTTTAGGGCTTTGTAGGTATGAACTTCTGGGGATAGAGTGTGGGGCTCATGATAAGGGGCTCATAGGCTCAGGGTTTCAGGGTGCGGGGCTCATGGGCTCAAAGTGCTGGGCTTGAGGGTCACAGGTATGGGGATCAAGCACTCAGGGCTCCGGTAAATGTGCATGCATGTGGATCTGCTTGGCCTGACAGAAGGTGCCACTGACGTGCAATCCTTGGAGAGGAGGATAAACACCACCTTGTGTGTGCCCAGGCAGAAGGGGCAGTCCATGCCACCAGTGCTCTCCAAGTCCTTGAGTCCCTTCCAGCTCTCATCCTCCACGTGCAGGACACACACTGCTCACAATGCCAGCTCTGGAGTTTCTTCAGGTTCCTGCAGGGTCAGGGCCTCAGAGAAAGAACTTGTGGGCTCTGGAGGCCAGGGCTATGAGGACTGAGGGCCACCCACAGCCCAGCATGCATGACACCTCATCCTCCTAACCCCCTTTACTGGAAGTTACTCCAAGCAGGGCTGGTGGTTCCTTCTGCTCCCTAGGGGTGTGGGGATGGCTTCCTGCTGTCCAGAGATTACCACCTGCACTGTATCCCTCCCCATGTCGTATCTCACTGCACACCAGGCTCTGGCAGGTGTATTTACTTCTGCAGTAACGTGGGCTTCAGCAGGAAGCCATCAATGGGCGAGCTGAATGCACCCTCAATCCCCACTTATTAGGAGCCAAGTTCTAGGCACCGAACAAACACAACCTATGACTGTCTAGGATAAGGTAGCCAACCTCTTATCCTGGATCCCAAAAGAAGAAGCTTATGAGAGTTTGTACCCCAACGTGAAAACGTTAGGAACCAGCCATGACCATGGAGTTCATGTGCAGTGCACACAAAACCCCAGACAGACACCTCCAGCAAAGGTTCTGCTGTGAGAAGACACTACAGCCTGATGATACTTAGGTCTGGGGCCAGCATGGTATGCCTGCATGGGTAAGTCTAGGCAGTCATATGGTGTCCTCACTTGGGAAGTACACCTTAGTACTGGGTTTGAGTCAATAAAAAGTCTGGGGTGTGACCCAGGGGTAGAGCTTCTACCTAGAATCTCCCAGTGAGGGGCTTGTAGAGTGGCCAGTGGGTGGAGCCCTTGCCTGGAATCTTCCAGGGTGGGAGTGTAGGCTTGTCTACCATGCACAAGGTCCTGGTTTCCAATCCCAACACTGCAAAGAAAAAAGGAAAAAAAAATAGTGTAGCTGGTTCTAGGAATGCATCATGGGCTGACTGGACCCCAGCCAAAGTCCAGTATGGAATACCAGGAGAACTGTGGGTGTCTATTGGCCCAGACACTGCTGAGTGACCTCATTTCTTGATGACCAAGGACCACAAGGCTGTGGGCAAAGCATAGGAGTGTAACATCTAGCCAGAGCTCTCAGTGTGAGCCCACATGGAGGGCACCATGGGCCAGTGTGGAAGTTGGTTGAGCTGCTTGCTGGGATCCACACCTGCTGGGAGCCTTGGAGTATGAAGCTTTTTTGGAAGAAGGTTTTAACAGAAGCCAGGGAGTAAGAACATATCATAGGAAGTTAGACAGAACAAGCTCTAAATATACTGTCTGGAAGTCTTAAAAGACACAAGGTTGGCATGGCTGCACAGTCATGTGTTCACAGCACAGTGAACAAGCCTGGGCTTTTGCTCCTCAGCTTGTGTGGGTTCCTGCCCTTCCGATTGAGTGTGTTGAGACTCTGCCATTCCTGCATGGAGACACTGCAGGTGCCCAGCAGCCGCCGTGCTCACTGAATCCATGGTGTCTGTGAGAAACTTGACCTCCTCCTGGGCACAGCTACTCCTCATTCTGTACAGGCTGCCCAATGGTGCTGACCACAATCAAAGCAGACGAGCATAAGATATACTTCTTTTCCAACCTGTAAGACAGAAAACCAAGTTTGAACTGAGGTGAATGAGCAGGAATTCCTTGACTCCTCATGCCAATGAGGGATTCGTCACTGTAGCACTGAGAGTCTGACTTGGGGCTGGAACCTACCTCACAGTCCATCTGAAAAAGAAAAGAATTTACTGGTTAAGTCCATAGTGCTGAAACTTTTGCCTATGAACGCAACTTCTCTTCTTTCTTTTAAAAATACATGGGCAGTTATGGCAGATGTGTTGCTACATGCCTTTAATTCCAACATCTGAGATGCACAGGCAGGTGGATCTCTGTGTCCTAAGCCAGCCTAGTCTACATAGCAAGTTTTGAGACAGTCTGGGCTACCTAGTGAGATTCTGTCTCAAAAAACAAAACAAAACAAATTACTTCCAAAAGGTAGGGCATGGTGGTACCCTCTTTTCCTGCAGCTCCTGGAGGCAGAGTCAGTTGGATACCTGTGAGTTTGAGGACAGCAGGGTTTACAGACAAAATGAGTTCCAGCACTGTCAGGAATACAGAGAGGGAACCAGGTTCAAAATACAACAAGAAGAAAATTACCAGAAAAGCCATAACACATGAACTCACACATGAGAATAGGTTGTGAGGGTGTCAGTAAAACATAATACTCGACACATTTAAAATCTTCATTTTTATTTTATATGTGTTGCTATTTTGCCAGCATGTCCATCAGTACAGCACATTTTTGCAGTACCCCGAAAGACCAGAAGATGGCAAAATATCACCTGGAATTGGAGTTAGGGTAGGTCGGGAGCTACCTTGTGGAATGGAAGCTGGGTCCTCTGCAAGAGCAATCATACAGTGAACGTTTTACTAATGTATTCAGTAATGTATCCAAAGTTGCATCTTTTGTACTTTGAATGACAAATGCCAGAATATTCCAAGTTCAGTGTTCCTTGCACTGTGCATTCAGCAGATGTTACATTTCTACTGGGAGCAGTGCATTCATTAACCACCTGAGAAATTAGTATGTATACATTGTGCACATGCACACTTTCAGATATTAATGCTTCCTATCTATGTGGAAGCATGCTGATATTCATGTAACAGTGTTGATACCAGGCTAACATTTTTATTTTAAGTATTGTGATAATCTAGTTTTATATGCATATTTTTATTTCAGTTGTTACCTGAGAAAATTCTGTTCCTGGAAGGATGTCCAAAGTTCAGCCAGAGGTGAGGGCTGCAAGCCTCAAGCAGGAGGAATTTGCTCAGACTTAATGGTAAATGTTCACAGAACACATAGACTCCTCTTTTAAAGCCAGAGAAGGACCGGGCAGATAATTCTGTTGGGATGTTTATAACTGATGTCAATGCAGATCTCGGAAAGCTCAGATCTGCTTTGTTTTGTATTTTATTTAGAAAATAAAAGTGCAGGTAACATAAATGCCTGTAGTTGCTAGGGTGCATCACTCAATAAAGTTAAACACAGATGATGTCTGCATTAGCCCATTTTTCAATGGTTTAATAAAATCTCTGGAAATATGAACTATTGAGAGGAGACTTTGAGCAAATGGAAGCCACAAGTTGGTTTTTACTAAAGAGTAAACACTAAGAAGAGGAATCTGTTGCAGTCAAAGAGATCAGAAGTTATGTTGTGGGTATAGGAGTTTTCTTTGCTAGGCAAATATACAAGCAGAGATAACACATTTACCCAGCTCACAATCTGAAAGGCTTTAAGAGGCAGTGGACAGGGAAAGAGCATGGGTCCTTCCTGTCAGCCCAGGGCTGATATCAAGCAGGATGGTTTGCTTAGTCTGGTGACCATGTTCTGGCCCTGCATGTCATCTCCAGCAATAGCAAGGCTCTAGAATGACAGGCAGATAACCTGGGAATCTTCACATCACCTGAGTGTGAACTCTGCCAATTTCCCCCCGGCTTCTGAGGACAGACTTGAGGGCTCTGAAGTGAAGCTGTATCCTGTAGGGTGAGGAGGCTGTCCCCTGGGTCACCTGGAGCCTGTGAAAGGAGGGAGAAGAAACCAGCTGACCAGGGAGACACTCCCCACCCTATACAGAGATGAAAGTTGACATCTACAGAGGGGTGAGTCTCAACTCAGAACTTTGAGACCAGCTGAGCAGAGTCTCATCTGTCAGTCTCCTTTCTAAACACAATCCAAGTGCCAAGGGTGGGCTGAGATGAAGTGTTGTGAGGGGCAGGTGCTGTCTTTTGTCAGCTGGACTTCAGGGTGTTTGGAAGAACATTAAGATTCCTCAAGTATAAGGGATCAGTGGGATACCTGACAGGAAGATACAAGAGGGTTTTCTGTGTATATTTGGCTGGGGTGGATAACTGTATCTCCTGGGATTGGGACTTGGTTCATGAAAGTGTGATGTCTCAAGAAATACTTTAGCCCTGAACCCAGAACCCAAGAAACACACCCTGAACCTGAAACCAGAGCAAAAGAAACACAATTTGGCTTTATAACCAGACCAGTGAAAGAAATACTCCCTGCCTCTAAAATTGGAGGCACAAAGTGAAAAATGCCTAGTGAAAGAAACACAGTATGGCCCTGAAATCATAGCCAACTCTGCTCCTGACCAACTAAACCAACCAATCCCTGGGCAGGAAAAGTAACCAACGCTTGAGCAGAAAATCTTCTCCCTGGAGAAACTCTGCCCCAAGAAGCCCTATATAAGCCCCTCTGCCTGTTCAGTTGGGGCTGTCCTTTCCCACCCTGGCAGAGGCAGCCACTCTCCTGGATGCCTCCTTCCCAAATAAGTCTTTCTTTCTTTCTTTCTTTCTTTCTTTCTTTCTTTCTTTCTTTCTTTCTTTCTTTCTTTCTTTCTTTCTTTCTTTCTTTCCTTCCTTCCTTCCTTCCTTCCTTCCTTCCTTCCTTCCTTCCTTCCTTCCTCTCTCCCTGCCTGTCTGCCTTCCTTCCTTCCTTCCTTCTTTCTTTTTTTTTTTTTTTTGTCCAGCTAGGGTTTCTCTGTGTAGCTTTATGCCTTTCCTGGATCTCGCTCTATAGACAAGGCTGGCCTCAAACTCACAAAGATCTGCCTGCCTCTGCCTCCCAAGTGCTGGGATTAAAGGCATGTGCCACCAATAAAAACTCTTTCTTAAAAGAGTTTTGGGTGAAAATCTTCTTCAGTGGATGTTCCCTTAAGGAGGCTGAGCAGAAAGAAAGTAATATTTTTTTTCCTGGAGCCAGAGGAGATTGCTACATTTCTGCAGGGATTTTTCCTTTAGCAGAGTGAAGCAGAAGTAACATCTGGGGCTGGAGCAGAAGGAGAAACATAGAGCTCTGCTAGGATATTCCCATAAAGGAACTGAGCAGAGCTCAGTTGTAATGGCTCTCTCTAGGAGAGGGCCAGGATTAATACATACTTCAGGGAGACCATCCCCCCTGTACCCCGCTTCAGATACAGCCTGACTTCCCTATAAGTCAGGATACCATTTCCTCCAGAGCAGTAATGCTCACAATAAAGACACTTTTCATACCATTTGAGGCAAATGCTTTGCTCCTCCATTCTAGTGTAGCCTCAACTTGCTGGACTCTACGAGACCATATTCAGAAATAAAGTTGTCACCCCCCTTTACTGGGTCAGGGCTTCAATGTCTGAAAACATACAGATCACCAAGCAGCATCCTCAGGCCTAGGTTCCAAGGAAAACACTTTGGAGAAAAAAAATCCAGATCTGGAGAACATGCACTCCAGGTTGATTATGTGCCAGGTCCACTTTACAGGGCCTCTCAAGATAAGTAAGAAGGTGAGGTGTGACTTAAATAAAGCTTTGTGTTGCATGAACCCTGAGCCTCTCCTGTTGCCTGCCCCTGGCCTGTCCTTTTCATGTTCTAATAGATACTGTACCCAGAAATACCAAGGCCACTTTTAAAATAGCATGGAAATTGTCACCAGTGGTTCAGACTAGGGAATTTGGCTTTTGTTGATTGAAACACCACAGCAGAGAACTACATCATGTTCTCCCCTTGACAGAGTGCTGGTTGGTGTATGTGTGTGTGTGTGTGTGTGTGTGTGTGTGTGTGTGTGTGTGTGGTGTGTGGTGTGTGTGTTCTTTTTCCTCCTGATGCCTCTACACAGTCCAGGTTGATCTCTTACTTACCACTATTCTTTTCCTCAGCCTCTTGGTTCCAGGTTTGGGCCTTCATAAGCTTTCTGGGAGTGTTTGCGTTGACATCTGAGGACTCACCTTGGCTCAGGTGGCTCCAGGCAAACCTGTCAACAGCTCCTCACATTGTCACTAACAGCTTTATGGCTGACATGAGCTCTGTTGAAGCTCTACAGGAAAATTTTTATCATTACATATGTGATATCTCTTTGGTTTGATGGCCCCCAGCTGTAAGAGTTCAATGATCTTGCCCAGGTACTTGTTCACTTCAGGAGATGCAGCTTTCCTCAACTGCATCATCCTGACCTACTTTTTCAGGATCTTTTATTTCTCATCCTATTGAGTATGGGTCTTAAGGAAAGAAAGGGTAAATCCTGGGCAGTGTTTTGAAAGTGAACCTTCAACTCCCCACAGATAAAAAGTTTCTAATGGAGCAGAGAGTTAGATCTCTGGCTTCGGGAGGAGGAGATACTGAAGTGTTTACCCTGGAGAGTCTCCTTGAAAGGGTACCTGTTGGGGTCCTGGAGAAGTCCCACAAAGGACCACCATCCATATATGCAATTAGCAAGAGCATTTTTATTATTCTAGTATACTGGTAGTCCAAAGGCAGAATGTCAGCGACCCCGGGGAAGGGGTGATGGGTCCTTTTAAGCCTAATTTTGGGGAATGTCTAAGGATGTTACTTTGTCTTAGGTATAATTAGTTTGTGCGGGTGGCAATTATTGTTATTAATGTCTATTGGCTAAAAGTTAGCTAGACACTGGTCAGGGTTATAATCTTTTTCTTTGGACAAGTCTGGATGTTTTTCAGGCTTTGTACTTATTTGGTTATTTGTCTAAGCCTGTGTACTTGCTGTTCCCCTTGTCCCTGTAATCTGGAGCTTCAGTGATTAATGGCTTTTTGTTTTTTG